TTTTATTTCTTTCTGTTACCTGATTGCTCTTACAGAGACTTCTAGTACTGAAATGGTCCTGATCTTAGCAGAAAAGCTTCAGCTTTTCACCATTAAGTATGATGTTGGCAGTGGGCTTGTCATGTAGGACTTTTGCATGTGTACTTTTTAATTTTTAATTTTAGTTTTTATTTTCTTGATTAGTCAAGAGCACTCACAAAGATGCAAAATGCTCAACTACTCACCCACTGGCTTTTTTTTTTCAATTGCTTCTCAGCCCACTGTCTGTAATCATGGTAGCTGCAAATGGTTAGGTTGCACGTTAATAGCTATCTGACTAAGCACTTGCAGAAGTTATTTGATTTGACTTGTAGTAAATTTGTACTGCTTTGTATAATAACTGTACGGTCATTTAGTTGACAAAAATGCATTTGTTGACTTAATTGAATGCAGATTTTAACAAATAGGGATTAAATACTTAATAAAGAATATACTTCGAGAGGTTTCAGGAAGGTCATTGCTTAAAAAATTTGACATTTGAACTTGTTTTATAGTTGTTGAGACTGTCCTACAGTTTTAATTTGATTTATAAATATCTACTGTGTAGAAACCTATTCTTTGACCAAAGCAAGATATATATAATATATAAAATGCTCGCAACTTGCTGATTTCCTGTCACTATTCCCAGCAGCAGAGCCGGTGCCTATGTGTAATGTAGACAGCATTGGAAACTTTTTGTGTGTGTTGTTGGAGGTGGAACTCAGAACCTGGTGCTTGCTGGGTGTGTGCTTTCCCACTATATCCCTAGCCCTGTGCACATTTTAAAATCCTGGTTCAACTGTTTCTTTTAAAGTAAATGTTTTGTTCTTTAAAATCTTTCAGCATGAGATTCCGGGCGAGAATTATAAACCATTTTTCTTGAAATTTAAGTGGGCTAAAATGACTATTTCTATCCACTCAGAAATATAAAGAGAATATCGCCCTGGATTTAGTGAATTAATAAGCACTCTGACTTCAAGTTCATCTCCCTTCGGTGTCCAAGTCACCGCTATACATCCTGTCCACTTTTAGGCCCACTATTAAAGTTGTAGTCCCTGGACTGGGTTGCACGTTTTTATGACACAGAGACCCTGACATTTCTTTGAATCTCCCAGAAATTCATTTCCAAAGTGTCTTAGTCAGGGAGGCTCCTCAGTCATCATGACCACATTCTTAGTTGTGTTCTGACATCTCCATACAGGGCTTTTAGAATAGTATTTCAGGTACTTCTAGAGCTACTTGCTTGGGTGGAATTAACAGGTAAGATGAATGCTTTCCTCCAGCCCCACCATTTCATTCCCTTGGGAATGACTAATGGGATTTCTGGCCTTGGTTGGCCCCAACAGACACACTGTGAATGTTGGAGACCTAACTGCTAATGTCTTTTTTGGCAGCAAAACTTACTTCTGGTCGCTTCTTCCCTGACTTGTAGAACCCATCTGGAAATGCCTGTCCTCCTAGCATGGTAATTATGCTAGGGGAAGTTGAGCACTCAGATACCATGTCCATAGCAGAAGGGTTAGATTCCTTCCATCAGTAGCTAAGGTTGAGAAATATTAGGCTACAGGTGCCCTCCTTAAAGTTTACTTGACACTCTCAAAATGGGACCAGTCTCCACTGGACTCCTGTCATACCCCTGTGCTTGTGGGGGAACTAGTTTCTTGGATGTGTTGCTTTCTCCTTCAAGGCTTGGTGGGACAAAGATGCCAAAGGCTGTTTCACATGGCCTATTTTGTTTGGTGTAGTTTGTGATCCACATGTGCAGACCACTGTCTTCTTAATCCAAAAGGGATATGGCATTGGAACACAGCTGGTGGAAGGCTTTTTGGCTAGGTTGGTTATATGCACATCCTATGCCATTTTGTATAAGGGACTTGAACATTAACAGGTCTTAGAATCTATGGGTGCTCTTGGGATCAATTTCCTGTGAATACTGTATTTTCATTACAAGTGATACAGAGATGATATAGGACCTCAAGTGATATAAGGGAACTATAACTCCCAACCCACTGGATGTCCAGTATGCTGAGTCTGAGTTTTCTAAAATTGAAGAACAAATTCTAGGAGTAATGGAGGTTAAGAGTAGGAAGAATTTATCGAGAGAAAAGCTTCTGTCTAAGAGAGACAGAAGGGGTCCTCAGTGGGTGGCCCTGCATGCCTACTTTTTATCTGTGTACTTTTTTCCTTACTTGTAGGACACCTCATTATATGGTTTTAAATTTGCATTAAAGAAAGAAAACAAACCAGAATCAGTGGCTCTGTGGGCTCAGGAGTAGCTGCATTGAAAGGCTTCAAAATTCTATCAGCAGTCTACCACTGACTTCAATTTGCAAAGGGTTACCAAATTTTGTGTTTTTTAAAGAAATTATATATAATTGTCAAAATCTACAGATATAGGAAATAGGAGAAAAACCACTGTAAGAATAGATTCTACCATCTCTTACTTCATTTAGTATTTTGATGTGTATTGTTCTAATATACATATACTTTTGGCCTCAGGAACTGAACCCAGAACCTCATGCATGCTAAATACATGCTCTAGTACTGAACCACAACCCTGGCCAATATAGTATTTTTATCTATATAAATTTGGGCTCATAACTAAGTTTTTTAAAAAATAACTTTAGTTTTATGTAGTACTCCTCTTGGTAGACATAGCCTAAAGTTTTTTCCCTTTGAGTTGTTAGACCAATACTCTTATTGTTGGATACTGACAGTACTTACATTTTCCTACCATAAATGTTGTAGTGACTATAATTTATACAAAATTTTTATACAAATCCATGATTAATTGTATAGAATATTTAAACTTTTTAAAACCTTTAATACTGATTGCAGATCTTCCCCTACCTCCCCATCTCTGAAAAATAGTATCATTTCGTGCTTTTACCCATATGTTTCTCTATTTTTTTAAAAAATACAATTGTTGGTTTCTTTTCCTTATAAGTAATTGTCTTTTATTTTTATTAAAATCTAATTTTCTCTCCTCTTGCTTTTGCACTTTTATCAACTTCGATTCATAAAATTTTAAAGTGATCCCCTTGTAAAATTTATTTTTATTCTGCCTTGAATGTTTTATTTGAAACAGTTTACAGAATCCGTGTAAAAGAAAATCCTGCTTACCCAAAAATTGTGAACTCACTTAAAAGTGTAAATGTTTCTGAAAGATGGAGAAATACTTATGAAGTATTTAAGCACCCAGTACCAAACTAGGGACCCTGGCAGATGCCTGAGAAGCCCAAGGGGCTCAGGGGCTAGCTCTTGTGGAGGTTGGGGGTCTTGCATGCTTAGTAGCATAATCTTACCTGACTGTCACGCTTGTCAGTTTTCTGGTCAAGTAATGCAAGATGCACGTGCTTTGTAAGGGGTAACGTTTGTGTGCACGGACGTCAGTACCATCAGATGTGTTGCTACTGGAGTCCGAAGTTGGCGTGACAACTTCTTGAATAAAATATGTCCATTCCAGGGACCTATTGTCTATTTTTTTAATGGCTAGTGAACAAAGAATGGTTTTATTTTTGCATTTCAATATGCTCGAAAAAAACCAAGAGGAAAACATTTGTGACATATGAAAATGACATGAAATTCACATTTCAGTGTCTACAAGTAAAATTTTCTGGAACATAGCTGAACTCATTTACATATGTACTATCTGTGTCTGCTTTTGTACTATGGCAGCAGAACTGTGACAGGTTATTACCACGCAGAACCTAAGATATTTACTGTTGGGCTGTATAAGAGACTTGCTTCTCTCTTCTCGGCCTTCTTACCCATTGAATATCCCAGAAAAGGAAGACAATTTAAAGAGATCTTAAAGGGTTTTTTTTAACTGATTACTTTTGTTTGATAATAAAGGTAAAATGAGGATGTTTTTGTCTCTTTTTTCCTTTGTGATGCTTTAAAAAAATAAATCTTTAGCCAGAGTTGGTGGTGCATACCGGTAATCTCGGCCACTCGAGAGACTAAGGCAGGAATATTGCAAATTTGAGGCCAGCCTGGAAAATTTAGCAAACCTTGTCTCAAAAAATGAAATGAAAAAAAAAAAAAAAAGGTTGTATCTTAGTAGTAGAACATTTGTCTAGCATGTACAAAGCCCCAAGTTCAATCCACAGAACTGAGGAAAAAAATCTCTATTCACTGTTGAAATACTGTTATAACATTAAAAATAAAATGCTCACTACCAACCTCAAACCATCCTTAATGTAGCTAACATGTGTTTTTATTTTGATTAACACTTCCTTCTAACCCTTGATGCTTGTATTTCCAAATGATTGTGATCATGACCTATATAGACATCATAGTTGATCTAGTCCTTTCCAGTTGGCTTTTATATATATTGCTAGATTTTTATTTTTATTATTCATAGTGGTTATGTTGTCAGAGTAGTACCTTTCACAGGATACACACACACACACACACACACACACACACACACACACTTATTTATTTTAGAAATACTTTTTGTTCCTGCTTGTGGTTAAATTCTTCCATATTCAAATGCAATTGCACATGTGTCTCTTCAGAGCCAGGCCTGGGCTGCCCTTCCCTGCCTATTGCCCTCGCCTACCGCCTCCTCTGCTCTCTGACATTATACAAGTGCAGCTTTCTTTCTGAGCTTAAAAACCGGGAAAGATGAGGAACGAAGCTGAAGAAAAGTGTCAGAGGGAAAATGAACAAGACACTTTCAAGGTGATTTCCCGTGTCTTTTCTCAGCTCTCCCCCCAAAGCATTTAATAATAAATGAAAAAAAATTTAGCAAACTAAAATATTCTCTGCTCATCTAATAAGGATGTGAGAGAGGTTTGTGCTTTTTATTGCATTTCTGAACAAGTGAGAGTAAAAGCAAGACCGTTAGTGTCATTACATTAATGCTGTGGATATTTTCAGTGTATGTGCACAAAAATTCCTTCAGTTTATCAGATGAATCCTATGGAGTGCAAGTAAAAGATGGCTATTTATATTTTATTCTCTTATTTTTCTAGTGAGAAGCTGGATGGAAAAACTCAAAGACAAGGTAAGAAAAGTCTGTTCCTCCTCTGGAGTTATCTTGCAGGGCATACACCGTTGGGAAACAGATGTTCGAAGTAGCTGAACTTGTTATTCGGACGCCGCTGCTCTGTGCAGACGTATAGGCTCCTTCCAGGTTCTCAGGACGAAAGAGTTCCCTTTAACTTTCTTCCTGCAGAACACAGGAGCCACCGTATTCTTTGGGGCACCATTGATGCTTACAAAGGTACAAGAATTTACCTCAGTTGGTGTGCTCCACTGTATAATAATCTTACGATTATTCTTTTAGGGAATTTCACAGTGCTGTCCAGTTCTGCCTGGCATTTCTTGTGCCGGGGGAGGTAAGGAAGTAGGTATGCAGTTTATCACGGGACTGTTGCCCACCAAGTGTTAATGAGCTGGCCTGTTTGGATGGCTGGCTGTGGAAAAATATTTTTCTCTGTTGTACTAATTCTGCCTACATAGTGATTGATAATATGAACTCCCTCCCAGGCTCATATTTTCATTTTCTTTTGATTTTAAACCCTTTGCAGGTTTTCATTTTTGGTTAGTTCATAATTTTAAACTGGAATTATTCATCAAAATACTGATAGAGTTTGGAATTCCTTGGTGCAGCCTATGTCAGACTCCATTAGCATAACCCAGCTCAGATTTAACTGGGGTTTCACTTAAGTTGAAATGTTTTTAATGGTCAGATATTGAGTTACCTCCAGTTTTCCAGTCTCAATATATTTTCATTTATGGTATTCCATATATTTTTTATTATGTGGAGTTGATTTTTTCCATATTTGAATTATTTGTATTTAGTTATGGTATAGTGGTAAAGAATAAAAGGGAACATTCAGTTGCAGTTAAAATTATATAACTTTATTTTCACTTATTTTTCTGCTTCTCACTAAGATTTAGCATATATAATTTTTGAGGATGAGACTATTTGTGTTCATATACATTAAAAATGGTGTTGACACAAAGGCTGTCGAAGCGAGTAGAGAGAGCTTGGCATTTGTGATGGATCCAACTGCACAGAGGAGGCATGATCAGATAAACTGAGAAACACGTGGGTGAAGAAAACTTACAAATTTAGAATTGGATGAACTTACATGGGTAGTCCTTGTTATTGGTTAGGGGAAAGCAAGATAATTTAGAACCCAAAAGTTTCTATAGAAAAATATTCTTCTGAGTTATCAAAAAGGACAAAAAGCAGATTTAAGAAATAAATTTTGGCATATAACTGCTTTGACATTTGCTGCTACAGACTTTATCACCGCAAATTCTCATTATTCTCTTTAAAACTCCGTGCAGCTTTAGGAAAGTTTAGATTTTCTGTCCCAAAGAAGCATTCATTCAGAAGCGTGATACCTTGTCACTGTTTCTTTTTATTAAGAGAAATAATTTCATGTGTGACCCCCTAATTTTCTGGTTTGTTTGGAGGTTTCTCCAATTCTTTTTGCAATTTCTTTGGGAATATATACATTAGTATGTCTTAATGAAAAAAAAAAATTGCTGGAAGAATTAAACTGAGCTTCCGAAGTGGTCATCTTATTTGGGTCTGTCTCTTGTGATTCCTTCTTGGAGTAACTCACTCTAATCTCATGTTGCTCCTCCATTCATGCTTGAAATAGTATATGCTCATGCCGACGTGTCTGTTTCAGACAGAACATGTATCTTTCTCTCCATTCTTTGCCCACACCCTTCGTACCTGTTCTCTGTAAGAATCTTGTTAGGCATCATCTTTGGAAACTATCTGAGAGTGTAACAGTTGTCTCTTTGATGAAAGCCACAGAACCCCTTAGAAATGTAAACCAAACTACGTATTAAACTGGCCTCTTCAGCCAAGGCAGCACTTTCAGTTTAGCTTCACTCATTGTTCCAGGACGATGGTGCCTCAGCTCATGAACTTAATTCTTCTCACGGTTATGATCACAGCAACCAGAATAGTGGGATGAATTCTGCACCAAGAATCATGGAAAATACTAAGTTCGTGAACCGAGGCACCACTGTGTTGGGTTTCTATGAATTACCCAGGCTCTAGAAAGTTCTCAGTTATTCCTTTGTTATTGTTGAGTTTTTCTATACTAGTTGGGGTTAAGATTAGCTCTGAAGGATAGACAACCTCTCGTGACAGTGGCTTAGGCTGCTGCTTCTCATTGACTAAGTGAAGGACTGAAGGTGAATGGCATAGTGATGGGGGCTCAGACTGCTTCTCTTCGGTGCTGCAGTGCTTACAACTTCATTCACAAGGTCATATCATGGTCCTGGATGGCAGCTGTGACTAAACTATGTCCACATTCTAGCTGGAAGTAAAGAGGACGAAGGGCAGGCTAACAGTGCTCCTCCTTTCTCAAAAGTACGCCTGTGATCCCAGCACTCTGGGAGGCTGAGGCAGGAGGATCACAAGTTGGAGCCCAGCTTGGGCAGTTTAGTGACTTAATGAGGTCCTATCTTAATTTATATTTTGAAATAAAAGAAGGGCTGGAGATGTAGCTCAGTGCAAAGGCTCCATGTGCAATTTCTAGTACCTTACATACAACAAATAAAACAACAAATAAGAAGTCCAGATTAAGGCCCCTGTCAGTCTTAAAGGGGGTGAGGAGGAGAATAAAGGCTCTGCTTCCCTCTTAAAGACTGTGTCCTTGCATTCGCAGGTACCACTAACATATCACCTTCTTGCTAAAATTTACTGCCTGGCCACGCTGAGATTCATGGGAAACAAGGAGCAGTGATCTCTTTTATGTACTCAGCCCAGCACTGGAAGCCGCAGAGTAAACAAAATGGATACTGAAGGAGAGTGACCTTCAATAACCCTAACCCTCCCAGTTAAAAACCCAGTTTGGGGAGGCTTTTATGAGGCTTTTTATTAGACCCCAACTTGGCGAGCCGGAGGCACAGTTTTCCAGTATTGAAACTGCCTCTCAAAATGGAAGATATGACAGTTTAAATTGTGTGCCAAAGACCCGCCCTGCCTGTTGTCCTGTCACCCGATGTGTCCTGTTCCTTCTAGCTTTGGGAAGGCATCCAGCAAACAAATGCTGCAGATTCTACTTCCCAGTGTGCACCAGCCTGGCAGCACCGAGCTTGTTAGGGTGTGGATTCTCAGTGCCCACCCAGGCCACCTGGGCTGGGATCTGAGTTGGAGCAGTTCTGGCAGCAGTGCTGACGCATGCAGTGGCTGGTCAAGTTGATCTTGCGGGAGGCTGAATATCATCCGCTGAGCGTGCACTTCTGAAGAACTCCATCAACCGGCTTTAGCATCGGTCATGAGCCATGTTTTCATATGCACACTGGTATTTCCATGCACTGGGAATGCTATTTAGAAATCCATATTTCTAGTGAGGGCATCAAGATTTTTTTATTGTCCAGTGTTTTCCTACATGGAAAATTACAGTTTTTATAAGCCTTAAGCAGAGCTGGAAGAATTTTAGAAAAAGTTGGGGCCTCTGCAAAGCATATTAATGTGTTGAAAAATGACTGGGCTTTGTTCCTCAGGGGAAAAATACTTAGTATGCTGATGAAAAATGCCATTGTTCCCAAATTAGTGGGAAAATTTCCATGTTTTGCCCTCACTTAAGACTTGGTAAGGCAGCGCGAGGGGGAGGGAGCCAGGCCATGCACAAGAAGAGGAGGCCATCTTTTTGTAAGGTCTCGTCTCTCCCTCTGTTCACCTCTAGAACGGTTGGGAAGACGCCTCAGTATGCAGACATCAGCCCTTTTGGACAATTTTATGATCTCTGTTTTTGGCTCATTCTAAAAGATACTGGAAATAGTTTGAACTACGTTAGAAATTTAAGGCAAATTACTGTGTGGACTCATTCCCTCCCCCAAGTAATGCTTATCTAAAGTATTTATTTCAGCTGTTAACATTTTAATGTTTATGTATTTTGTCTGGATCGGTTGCTAGGGAGGCAAGCCCATGAAGGGTTCTGAGTTGGTACATCCCCTCCTCCCCGTAGGGGACTTAGGAGCCAGGGTTGGGGATGGTTCTCAGTATAATGGCCTTGCCCCACACCTCGCTGGGTCCCGAGCTACCTTCTCAACCTAGGAACGTTTGGGGCTCAAACTGTTCTTTTAGGATTGAGGTGTCCATAGTGACCCTTGCGGATACGGAAGACATCATATGGATCGGATACCTTCAGGCTCTTTTGGAGGTGCAAATATTGCTGGCAGTGATCTTTGTGCCCCTTTCTGCCACTGCTTTTCTTTGGGTCTGGGGACACTCAGAATCCCCTTCCCAGTCCCAGCTTTGGTCCTGTCCATGGACCTATCCATTCTTAGAAATGAACCTGTCCATTTTATGAGCACTCTTCCTGTCCTTGTCTTTCCTGCCTTTGTGCCAGCACTTAACATCTCCCCTCCTCTATTCTTTCCTCTGCTGGCCCTTTCCTTCTTTGTTGTGTCCAGCTAACGCTCACCTTTACTGTTGTCTTTTTTTTTTTTTTTTGGTTTTTCTCGGGTACCAGGAACCGAACTCACGACCTTGCGCTTGCCAGGCAGGCGCTTTTGCCACTGAGCTAAATCCCCAGCCCCCTACTGTTGTCTTTATTTTCTTACTTTAGTGGAGAGAGAGAGGGAGACCGCACTGTTGAGGCCCTTTTACCCGCCAAGGAACCCAGTGTTCCAGAAGCCGAGTCAGCCCCCTCTGCAGCCATTTCCAACTTAGAGCATTTTAATTGTCCTGGCCTTCTCAAAAGCTCCCTTCATCCATCTTTAATACAAATTATATTCCTGGCATCAAAAACTAATGTTGACAAATGTGTATACGCAAGTGGCCGAGGGGCTACTAGATCGTGCTGATTTATTTCAGTACTTACTGCTAAGTATTTGAAATATCCCCCCAGATCATCACACCTCTCTCCCTGTTATGTTCTTGTAAGAACAGTAACTTCATTCGCGATTCCATTAGATTTTATAATAAAGAAAACCTGCTGCTCCTTGGCAGAAGCGAGGGCCCCAGGGTGATGGTCTGTCAGCATGCTGATGAGTGTTTTCTTGTCTGTGCAGGCTGGCTACATGTCTGGGATGCTGGTGCCTGTAGGAGTGGGGATAGCTGGAGCCTTGTTCATCTTGGGAGCGCTCTACAGCATTAAGATTATGAATCGCCGAAGGAGAAATGGCTTCAAAAGGCATAAAAGAAAGGTATGAATCAACAAGAGCAAAACCTAATTGGTTTCATAACACTCTTTGCTTATCTGATTTGCTTAATAAGGCCCATGGGGTTTAATGGTGCGCGAATAGTGCATACTGATGCACCCAGTGCTTTGGATAGCGCTGCAGCCCTGTTTTGGGTCTTTTACTGCGTCCTTCCTTGTGGGCCTGTTCCTCAGCTCAGTTCTTCGGTAGAAGTTGTTTAATGCTTTTCTGTTTTCTTTTTCTAGCAGAGAGAATTCAACAGCATGCAAGATCGAGTAATGCTCTTAGCTGACAGCTCTGAAGATGAATTTTGAATTGGACTCTGGTTTCATTGGGATATTCAATGATGTTATTTTATTTTTATTTTGGGGCAAAACAGCAACAACAACAACATCATGCCACATTGTGCTATGAGGCCGTCAGTCCTAGTATCTGCTGGATAGTAGACTTTTCTTGTTCTGAGCAGAAAAGGCATGCTGTAAACTAAATGTAACACACAGTGTTCGGTTATGCTGTAGTGAATTTCCCATCATCATGGGCTGCGATTTATAAACACACAGCACACGTGTTGTTCAGTAAAAGTAGCAGGATTAGGTAGAGTAAATTTTTCCATGGTTTGGATTACCTGAATTAAGTATAATGGTTGTTGCCACCGAGGCATGATTGACTTTGAAATAGAAATCTTAATGAAGAGTAACTGCTCATAATCACACCCTTTGTACTTGAAACTGTAGGCTTGTGGGCTGTGGTACGTCTTGCATTTGCATTAAAATTAGCATCTACTTGGAATGAAATCTTTTTTTGTCAAGATCTCTCAGCACATTAGAATTGTTACCTGTAGGTTTGTATATATCTCACTGTATGCTTCAGTCTCTTACTTTTATTATTTTCACCTTCTGTTATATTCTCAGTCTTGGCAAGAAGAAAAGTGCACCAGAAACTGTATGTTAAATTGACTCTTCACTGTATGTTCCATTGACATGCTTGCTTTCTTAAATAGTATGCTTATGTCCGTCAGGTCTGTCAACAGAGTCTTCCATGTTTATCACAAAGACGTCTTCTTTCTGTGGACCGTCTGACCTTGGCAAGAAGAAATGACGAAGAAATGAAGAGCACGAGGGTGGGCAAAGGTCTGCCGTTTGGCTCTCTGCTTAAGTGACCACTATGCGAGTGATTCAGAATGTTGCTTTTCCACGTCTGTGGTCTTTCTCCATGGGGGGAGTAAGCCAGCATCGGTCCTTTTTGGGACTGATTAGGAAAAAACACATTCTATGGTAGAAGCAGGCTGTGGCCAGAAGCAAAGTGCATAGTGCAGCTCATAGAAAACCAGCCTCTCTCAAGGCACCCAGCCTTGGGGTGGGACTGTGCTTGATCCCAGTATGTGATTCCCTGCCTGGTACCAGGTAGGGTATTTGGGTATCCTATTTGAATCTGGGCATTTGGGACGTATATTTAGCTGAGTTTTAGGATACAGGCTGGGCTCATTTCCACGGACAGATAAATGTTCTGGAGATGACTATTACTGTGGAAAATTCATGGTGTTCATCATTGGCTGTGCTGCCGGGTCGCACAGAGCTTCCTCAGAGCCACGGGGTGAGGCAGGACCTGTGTTTCTGGAGACAGGAAATGGTTATCTGAAGTTACACCCAGGGAGAAACTCAAAACCATGCACCCTGACTTCAGTTCAGTGCTTTTTCCATGTGTCTGGAGGAAGCAGTGACATTTTAGAGTCCTTTAAAATCAGAGTTCTAAAGAAGTAGCTGCTTCATGAAGGAGCATTTGATAGGAGCTTCTGTCTTTGTTAAATGATGAACGATGCCCCACAAATTGCTCTCTTACACATAAACTTAAGTATCACTTGTAGGGAACCAATCAAGAAAACCTCCTAGAACCTATTAGGTGGCTAGATCACAAGAATGTATTCATTGAGTAATTTTAACTCTTTTTGCCTGGAGAGGCATGCAAGTGTGTGAAATTGATAGAGAAATGAACAGTTCTGTATGGGCAAAGTGACTGGTTAATAAACTCAAGGTTGGATTTTAAACATGGAATTCAGGGATGGACACTGAGAAGTGATGTGTAATTTTGTGAGTAGAGACACCCTCATATTACAGAGGGGATGCTTTCATTGCCTAAGAGCTGCCCTTTACTATAAGTGCTCCTCAGGTTAGGAGGAAGTAAGAGCGAGGTGCCATTACTGTGTGCATTCTTGACAATCTTGTGTAGAGAATATGATAAGTGCACTAATGCAGCATAGCGGGAGGGATGCTGATGGCCCTGGTGCCTGGGGCAGCCTCCTGCAGCCTTCACTAGATCAGGGTTAGTAGCTGCCCTCTGCACACTACAGTATGATAAAGTTGTGAATCACAGCACATTTTCATTTCTCCAGAGGGTTATGGGCGCGGCATGCATGTGGATATAGGCTTGAGCAGAAATGTCTCTTTATCCTTCTGGGGGACACATGGCTATTTAAAGGGAAAGGGCATACTTAGATCAGAGTAAATTTCTGTACAAACCCACTTAAACATCTGGGTAAAGAAAATTTGTACTGTGCACATAAATAGACCATCATTCAATGTTAGAAAATCTTGTCATTGTGACCATAGGTGGGAAGATAGAGGACAGTATGCTGAGGGAGCTAATCACACAAAGACGAATGCTGCAGGATTCCAGTCAGCTGAGGTATACAATCAAATAGACTTACAGAAACAGGTAAAACGCAGGGTGCCAGGAACTGGTGTGTGTGTGTAGGGAGGGGAGGAAGTGGGAAGGAATCGGTCCATAAAGTCACAATTTTGCAGAATGAATTCTGGAAGTCTTCTGTATAACATAGCACCTCTAGTTAACAGTGTTGTGTTGTGAGGTTAAAAAGTTAAGAGGCCAGATCTCGTGTTGTGTTCTTAACATAAAGAAAGAAAGAAACAATGAAAGAAGAGAAAAAAAAAAAACAAGGAGAGAGAGATGAAGTAGAGCCAGGACCTCGGGGAAGAGAACCTGCTACTCAGTGCATCTGCCACCCTGGAGAAAGGGAAACGAATGGAGGAGGAAGCTGCTGCAGAGCGGGAGGCTGGGATGGAGAGAGAAGGTTTCTTCCACGCCCTGATGTCCTTTTCTGTAATCAGAAGACAGTGTTTTCCTTTTAGGTCTTTTTGAGTTTTTCTCTTCTGTGAGCTGCTGCTTTCAGAAGCTGCTGGCTTAATTTATGTGCAGCATTTGGAGTTAATTAGGATCCCAAGGTAGCAGATTCCCTTAGCAATGCCATAGCCTTGGCTGAAGTCCATCCACTGTCTTGCTGCAGTTTTCCAGAAATGCTTTCTTCAAATACCTGCACCTCTTATCTTGCTCAAAAACATTGTGAGGCAATGTTTAAGGCAGAGTTTCAGAATATATTTCAAGTAGTTGTTGTATGGTCAGTCAAAGCTGGCTCTTCATTTCCTAATTTTATTTTATGAACTTTTGGTGGTGCTGGGGGTGGAACCTAAGATCTCACGCATGCTAGCAAGTACTCAGTCACAGAGCTATACCCTCAGCTTTCACTTCATTATCTTTTTAAAGCTAAAACTTAAAAGTCAAAATATTATGAATGTGAAAGTTATACGGAGCAGTGTAAAGCTTTCTAAATGCCTCGAGCTGGCCTCTCTCTGTGCCTGCGCATGTTTCCTTCCCTTGCAAGCCCAGATGAAACACCGTGTTTGGAGCTGCATCCCTAACTCAGGGGAGAGGAATCCAGTCACCCACAGGCATTGTGATTTTTGTGCATATGAATAATCAATGTTCCTTCAAGTTGCCAAAAAGCAGCATGTGAAAAAAGATATATTATTGGATGTAAGTTTATAGCCATGTGGCCTTTGAAAAGACAGGCTTCGTTATGATTGCAGAGAAATCTGAAAAGATAGGATTACTACTGAGGAAAATAAGCTTCCTTTTTAGGTTATGTGAAGGCATGGTAATAAGGAAAGAAATATGGGTAGAGGAAGATGAGAAAAATGGTAATACAAGGCATAAGTAAAAACGGCACAAGAGCTTAGAACAGTGATGGTGCGTCTTTTAGAGATTTCAGTGATGCTAAGCAGCCCGATGCTGCGTGCGTACCATAGGTCCGCCATGCTGCCTTAGAATGTGCTACAGGAGGGCAAGCTCTGAATGGATCATTACTGAGAAAAGTTATAAAGATAAAGAGGAGAACGCCATGTGCAAGATCATTAGTGAGTGAATGTGCCATAAAGCTACAAAAATCTATTTTGCTTCCATCTTTTCCACCAAAGAAAATTACCCTGCAATAGGTGGAATGAATACACGTAGTTGGGAAGGAATTGAAGCCCAGGATGAATGAGGAGATGAAAGGTGCTTGGTTACTTTAAATGAGCTGAAGGGAAGTTAAATATCTTCCTTAATTACACAGACTTCAAATGACTGAATATAAACTTCTAGGAACAGGAAATAATTTGAAAACAAAGTAATGGAATTGACTCAATGGAAGCCTCATATTTGCACATTTAGTGCCCCCGTAAGACACACACCTCCTTTTTGGGGATACCTGTTAGGTTTATAAGCTGGAGATGGACTAAGATGTCACATCTGATTATGTTAACTCTGGTAATTATAAGCCTTGGCAATCAACATCACTGGAAACATAATTCTATTGCTTAATTTCTATATGCAGAGAAAAAGTCAGCATTTATTTTGTAAGCCACTGTGATATAAATACATTGGGAATATCCTGTTTGTAGTAACGAGTATGTTTAACTCCCTATTAATTAACCAGAATTTCTATTATGTGCATATAAGGTAAAGAGAAACACAAAGGGAAAGAAGGAAATAAGGAAGGGAGGGGGAGAGAAATTTCTTCTAGGAAATAGCAACAAAAAAGTACAAAGAAACAGGTCATCCTCATTTCATTTTTTATGTAAGAGATAAAGAAGGAAAAATCCAGAATGGTCTTGTAATTGAACTAATAAAATTCCAAAGACATGGGACTAAAGGTATATAGCTCAATGGTAGAGTGCTTGCCTAGCATGTATTAGGTCTGAGCACCACCAAAAAAAAAAAATCAAAACACCACCATCACCACTCAGAAGTCTGTGCCAGGGGAATTTGAGGATGGGTGGAGATTCTGTCTTTGATAAACGTCAAGCCCTTGAACATATTGCTTCTTTCTGAGTCAGTGTTAATTGAATACCTTTGATGTGTTGGGCAGTGTGTTAAGTGTTAGGGGACCAAGGATAACAAGATACAGTCCATGACCAGAAGGAATTTAGGGACTTATAGGGGAGAGAGTAAATGCACAATTTTATCCCAAGGTTGCTGTGGGATCCATAAAGGGGGCGTCCATTCTTAGGAGAAGACTGGGAATGTGTGTCCAAAGGTCGCATCCAACCTTAAGGCCCCATGGGATGGGTGGGTAGGGGTTAGTGAGGTAAAGGAGACAGTGGGATGTGTGTTCTGGCTTGGAGCCGCAGCAGCAGAGAGATGAGTTAAGCATGGTAGAGTAGTGGTTCTGCTGGGGGAGCGCAGATGGGGTGTTGGGGAGTGTGTGGTGTGAGGCAGACTGACCTGGAGGTCTAGGTCATGCCAAGGAAGTGGGACTTTATTCTGAGGCCAGCTAGAAGTCACACAAGGGGATCATGCTGAGAAGGGCTGTGACCAGCTAGAGGTCGGGGAAGATAGGCTTGGGAAGGTTGGTGTCTGGAGTTGGGTACACCAATCAAGGGTAGGACTGGTACAGCAATGCTGGTGAGAGAGAGAGGACTGTGGTCCCTACCGAGGTGCAGGAGGGAATCATGAGCAGGGAGGGTGGATCCTGGACGTGTTCAGGAGGGGATGATAAAGAGCAGAACTTGGGGATTGGTCAGATGTGGAGATGGGGAAAAGACAGGGGTCAAGGAAGCCAGGGTCACGGTCTGTCTGAGGCCCACAGATATCATGGGATCCAGTCTCCTGCCTTGTGAAGGGACTGACTCTGTCCAGACCTGAGAAAAATAACAATTCTGCCAAGCCTGTATTGGCGGAAGCTTTAACATTTTACAAAGTGTGTATGTGCTTATTCTCTCTTACTTTCAATAGTGTAGGTGCCAAAGAAATAACCGTAATAAAACTTAAGCATCTAGAAAGACCTCCAAGTATTTCCAGTTACTTTGGCTGAGCCCTAGCTTCATGTGACTATCTAGGATCTGATTGGTTTGTAAAGAGTAGGATGAGAACTTCTTATTCCTTGGCATGCGAGCCACGGTGTAGTATATTGTTTTGCTTGAAACAAGGCCCAGAAGCTCCATCTCAAGGCCAGCCCACGGAGGATGAGGTCAGTGTTTGGAGGTGTGGCCTGGAGAATGTCCAGGCCCATGTCCCAGTGCTCTGTGGTGTCTGGGGCTTTTGACAATTGTCATGGACAACCATCAAGTAGCTTATCTTCCTTAGGGTATGAAAGATAAGCCAAATGTTGCATGGTTGCCATACCAACATCAGCATAGGGCTGGATTCTGGAGGGCCTCAGTGATGACGGTGTAGAATTGAAGAAGTGTAGAAAAGCATAAAAAATAAGTATCACCTCAGTTCCACTCCCAGAGATTACCATTGTTAACAGTTTTCAGCTATATTTTTCTAATCTTTTCTGTGTATTCATGATATGTTTTATATGCTTAATTTTACACAAAATCTGGATTATAGTTTACATGCTATTTTGTTACCTCTCTGTTGCTACTATTTCTCATGATTGTCTTAAGAGAAATAAAGGAAAAGCTTGTGAAAATCTTGCCCTTGTATTTGAATGAACAAACTGTGTCTCATCATTAATAAGATTTTTTAAAGCACTTAATGGTCCATGACTGTCCACTTCCCTCAAGATGCCTCCATAGGATATAAATGAAGACACGGTTGAAAGGAGAAATCATAACTGGAACATCCATCGGCAAATGTCGTCTTCTTGTGCCCTGAGGGGTTAGAGGACACTTGCTTGTCTTTGCTTTTGCCCTCAAAGCAAAGATTGTAAGTTTTTATAATGAGACAGTAGGACTGAATGGCGACAAGAGTAGGGAATACTTTGCATTGTGGGAAATACTGGGCAAACAGGTGCAGTACTTCACGATGGTGACCTAAATTAATTAAGCTTGTTCGGTTCAACTCTCCTAAATGTAATTGGTATTTCTGTGGCATTTGTTATTTTCAGTGGACATATTTTCTGCATCTGACTTCACTTGGCTGAAGTTAAGTGGGCAAAGGTTGGCTGTGCTGCCTGATTTCTTCTCTCTGTCCTTGTTATACAGAAGAATCACAGCTTCATGCTCTCGTATTCTCTACACCAGACTCCCTGAGCAAACCTCTCTCCAGGACTTTTAGCTCTGAAAGTTCAGCCAATGAAGATGGACTTAGTAGGATTTATGCCAGATTCAATATTACTATTATTTATTATTGTTATTTTGAGACAGGGTTTTGCTATGTAGCCCAGGTTGGCCTCGAACTTGTGACCTTCCAGCCTTCTGAACAGTTGGGATTACGTGTGAGAGCCATCACACCCGGCTCCTTATATTATTTTAATTGCATGTATTTTCAGAAAAAAATATGTCTTTAAAAACAGTGAAACTCTTTTGGCCAAGACTTTTGTAAGCATCTTGCCTAACACTCAGTTCTCCAAGTCCCTGGCACAATAGGAGATGAGGTGAGATAAATCACATGATACAGACCACTGAACTTTATTCTGAAAATGCTATCTTTGGGTGTCAATTCTTGTTCATAAAATGCTGTTAGATTAAAAATAGCACAGAGCAGGCGTTTGGCAAACAGCTTGACTGAGCTTTTGCAGGGAAGATCATCTCTTTAGGACATATTTTTGTTCTTGCTTAAGACCTAGAGTCTGAAAAATTGCAAATAAAAGAATTAAGGTCATATTTATTTTCTATTATAAATGATGAGAGTATTTTTATTAGTTTGAGGGACTTATTAAATAGCCTAATTGCAATCTATGTACACAAAATGTGAATTTAAAAAGTCTTAGTGAAATTAATTTTTTTTTATTTAGTGATAATATGATCAGAAATGCATACCATGTTCTTGCTGTGGACCTGTCCTGTGCTCAGTATTTAACAGGGCTAAGCACACTTAATTAACTGCCAAAACCCGCCAAGGTAGGTGCTCAAGGTTGGCAATGGCAGAAATCTCACTTGCAGTGAATAATTATCTTGATACGGGGGCCCTAAAAGATCTGTACTAAAGTACAGATCTATGTGGAAGCCTGATGCACATAGAAATCAATGGTATGTGAACACAGGACAGTCTCAACTTTTGAGAGTTGAGTTCTTGGCTCTTTTTCCACGCTATATGAACTGCATAGCATTGGTCTTTAGCCAGGATTTGGATTCAGTTTTTAAGGTCTTTAATTCTTGTTTTAGCTCCATACACTGAACATTGCCCTTTGGACAGATGATTTGTCTATCTCCCAACTACCACCGGGAGAGAAGTCACAGAATATAACAAACTGCGTCGTATTCTGAAATAATTGAATGAGCCTGTGGCCAAATAAACTGGTTCCTTAGGTAGTGTACAATAGAGTATCCAGTTATTCTGAGTAAAGTTTGTAGTTAGCTTTTATCATTCGTTGAAGTAGCAGTTTGCAATTTCTTAATTCAGATTTTTACACAGTGGTCTAAAACAATTTTACAGTTTAAATCTTGCCATTGTTCTTAAAAACAAAAAGAATATTGATGATGTGATATTTATGTAATGTCACAATAATGCCTGTCCTATTGGCAACATTTTAAAAGTTGAGACTGTCCTGTGTTCATATACCATTGATTTCTATGTGCATCAGGCTTCCACATAGAGTTCTGGATGCGTACATCAGTTCCACTGATGTTGTTTAATGGAATTTTTCTATACCAGAGGAAAATTACTATTCAGACTATACTTGGGGAATGTAGCACTTCATTAAATAAGTATAATCAAATAATCTCTGTGTCACAGATCTGTTCTTGGCTTACAACAGCAGAAGGTGGTTTGTTTGCCTTAATGAAGACAAAGTGCATTCTGTCCAGTAGAAAAACTAGGGAAGATTCTGAAGAAGAATAACAACTCTGAAAAACCAATTGTATTGGAAATTTTTTTTGTGTGTGCATCTCAGAGTGATTTTGTGTGTGTGTAAGCAAGAGGGAAGAGAGGGAGGGAGGGATCAGAGATAACAAATAACAATATGCTTATGGTCCAAACTAGGACATAATTGAGAGCAAAGGGAGACAAAGGGATACTGTAGACCAGATGATCCTGGGCACACTGGGAGCTAAGGACCTTCTAGACCAGTGATGGTGAAGCTGATGAGTTTTTGATGACCATAAACAGCCTATTGCACTACGTGTGCCACTGGTTCGCCACCACTGTGCTCAACAGAGCATATCGGGTACCTTGCACTACTACTGATCCTTTTATTCCACTCTGTCGTGGTTACTTTTCTGTCATTGCTGAGACAAAATACCCAACACCCAAAATTAAGGAGGGAAAGGTTTATTTAGCTCACAGTTTGTGGAGGTTTCAGTCCATGCTTGGCTGGCTCCAAGGCAGAGTGGCCCATGGCAGAGGGCAACAGTTCATGGCAGCAGAAGATAGCAAAAGCAAGAGCAAAAGGAGGAAGGGGTGGCAAGCAGCCTCTTTCTCTCCCTTACATTGTATGCAAACTATCCACCCCAGGGTGTGTGTAGCACTCAATCCATAGTTCCAACTTTGGACCACGAATCAATCATAAACACTAGAAGCCTGCCCCATGACTGCATGAGGCTTTGGGGGGACCTCCGGACACAAACCATAACACACTCCCTGTAGCATCTATCAGTTCTACATCCACAGCTGTGGGCTCCCGCGGGCTGCTCCTGGCTTTCACACCTGTACAGCTTGGCAACACGGGGCACTAACCTGATGGCCCAAGCTGATGGCTGTGGAAACTGGCGGAGAAATGCTCCTACCCTTTGTTGCTCTTAAGGCTGCTTCTCAGATGCATTTCATGAGGTGCTTGGTGTATTCCTTAAGACCAGACACTGTCCATTGTAGCGCCACCCTGAAGACTCATCTTTGTGATCACTGTCCTTCTCTCCGTCACTGCTACATGAGTGGAGGAGTTTGTCTCAGACTCCGTTTTGGGGGGAACCAAGTGTACAGTAACTGGGACTGGAACTTCATTTTTTTTTTTTTTTTTTCTGGTACTGGGAATCGAACTCACGACCTCACGCTTGCCAGGCAGGCGCTGTGCCGCTGACCTAAATCCCCAGCCATAGTGGGACTGGAACTTTGCATAAGCTTTCTGGTCAGTGGTGATACACACTCCATTGATGCTGGTAGCAGAGTGGGGGTGCCTCCCTAGCAGTGGTGCAGTCACTAAGACTTGTGGTTGTGGGGGTTGGGAAGAGGTACAGGCAAAAGGCAAAGCACTGGATTGAATGATAGCTGTGGCCCCAAAACAGCGTGGGAGCAATGGTAATGAAGATTGAGTCGGTGGTGTGTTTAGACTGGGCTTGAAGATTTGAAAAAGAAAATGAAAATGACAAGGTTGGATCACTGACTTGTCAACACAAGGAATGTTGTGGAATCCAGTGTCTGTGGAAGTCTGATAGGAGGCCCTCACTGGGAGATTGTGCTGAAATTCTGATCTCAAGGTTATCCCCATGCAAGCTATCTAGACCATTAAGCTCCTGGTCAAGAGTGAGAGAAATCTGAAATGGTAGTCAAGGAGGGAGATGGTGACTGTCAGTGTGGCCTTGGTGTTACCTGTGTTACTACGAATATCACAGCTGCAGTAGCAGCAACTGGGACTTGTCCCATTGAGCTCTTGAGTGAAGTCTATGCAGATTATGCCTGGCTGCCATCTGGAATCTGGGGTAGACTGCACTTTAAGGAGGGCACAGACAAGTCCGGGGACTGGATTGCACCCCGCCGAATCCTCGTGCCAACACCATGATGACCAGGTCTGTGCAGGTGATAGCTCTGCAGCAGTGCCACCCAACAGACCCCAGCCTTGTGCTGCATGCTCACGTCTCTGATGCGGAATGTCCTGGCGCCACACGGGACACAGATCAGGACTCAGGTGTGCACGGCAGAGGAGCGTGGAGGAGGTGATGGCTGCGAGGCCTCACGTGGCTGTAGGGGTGAGGGTGAGTGGCTACCTGTGTTTTCCTCTTTCCTGTCCAGGAAGACAGTTCTGAGTTGTGATTTATGAGGCTTCTCCAGTCCCTTGGGAGCCTGTCACCTGCCACAGTGGCCAACCAGTAGCTCATCCTGGACGATCTTTTTCCTTCATGCACATTTCTTGCATCTATCCTGTGCTCCTGCTCTCTGAGGCTACATTTTGAAATGAACTCTTGTGTTGAAGCTTTTGTTTTGGGGAGAATGGTGGAGGGAGGGAGGGAGAGGCGGACAGACAGGCAGCAGTTTAGTTGAGGGTACACAGTCAAGGCAGGAAACTGGTCTGGTATTAAACTGCAGGAATATTCTGGGATATCAGAGCCCAATTTAGTACTACGATATTTTTAATAACGAAGATGACACATTTAGGCCACACGCTTCCTTGTTAGAAACTCTTTAATCAGGGATATAACAATTTTAGAGCTAGAAGTATCCTTGGATCTCATTTTTAGCCTATCTTTTAAAGAAGAGAAAGTTTGAGTTGAGCATATATTCTAGTGCATATGATAAAAGGATTTACAGTATGCCAAGTTATCCGCTACTAACCAAAATAATGATAATTTCCCCACAGTGTAAAATTACACACTGAGGAGTC